GCCCCTTGAAGCTTGGAGAGCTGCTGGAGCAGAGTACTTCCTCACCATTGTGGACGTCTACACTCGCATGACTTGGGTGTATGTGCTGCCCAAGAAGAGTGACGTAGCTGAAACGGTGAAGACCGATTGGTTGCCGATGGTGGAGCGGCAAAAGACCGAATTGTGAAGGCGATTCGCACTGACCGTGGGGAGAGTTCCTGAGCAAGGATTTCTCAACTTGGCTGAAGAAGCAGGGCATAAGGCACTCTCTTACCATGCCCTACTCTCCTGCAATGAACGGCATCGCCGAGCGTGCGAATCGGACACTCACGGAGACGGCTCGGGGACTTCTCATTGAAGCCGGTCTTCCCAATTACTTTTGGCCGGATGCGGTGCGGCATGCTTGTGTGGCCAAGAACAGAGCCTTGACTCATGTGGGAGAAGACAAATGGGTGCCCTATGTGGAGTGGATTGGAAGGAAGCCGAAGGTGGATATGCTTCGGGTGTTCGGGTGCATGTGCATGGCACTTGTGCCTAAGAAACTTCGGCACAACAAGCTTGATGCCAAGGCAACATGGGCCGTGCACCTGGGCATGGCTCAAAACAGCAAGGGATGGCTTCTGGGACCCATTTACCAAGAAGTTCCTGGTGAGCAGAGATTGCAAGTTCATGGAGAACTTACCGTACAAGGAGTGGAAGGCGGAGAACCAAGCGAAGATTGGTGTGCGGCTTGGAGAGGTGAAAGGACGGCTTGGAGCATGTGGAGCTGCCCTTGGAGCTGAGTAGCAGCAGCAAAATCACGAGGCAATCTCCCAAAATGAATGGGGATGAGGAGGAGGAGGAGGTGCAGCAAGGTAATGAGCGTGCACCGCCACTTCCGCCTCGTGCTACAAGTGCTCGCGGGAACCAACCGGACTTACCGCAAAGCCATGAGAGCATTCAAGTCCCTGCAGCAGAGGAGGAAGGAAGGGGAGAAGGAGAACTCAGCCCCCAATAGGTTGAGCTATGAACGGCTTGGAGGACCAGCCAACTCAACCTTGACCGGTTCGGCTCTCATGCTAGGCGATGATGCGGAAGATGAAAGGGAGGAGTGCGCTTTTGCCTTCTTCTCTCCGGTGGAGATACCGGGGGAGCCTACAAATCCCAAGGAGGCTTGGGAGGACCCCAATGGGAAGGAGTGGAAGAAGGCCTCAGATGAAGAAATGGGGAGCATCATCGAGAACGACACGTTTGACTTGGTGAACCTACCTCCGGGGCGTAAGGCGATTTCTTCCAAGTGGCTCTTCAAGCGCAAGACCGTCGCTGACGGCAACATTGAGCGCTACAAGAGCAGACTTGTAGCCAAGGGGTACCAGCAGCAGGAGAAGAAGGACTACAATGAAGTATATGCTCCTGTGGTGAAGGGTACAACCCTTCGAACTCTCTTCGCCGCGGCGGCCATCAAAGGATGGGTGGTGAAGCAAATGGACATTGTAACGGCCTTCCTCAACGGCGTTTTGGAGGAAGAGACCTACATGGAGCAGCCAGAGGGGTACAATGATGGGAGTGGCAGAGTGTGGAAGCTGAAGAAAGCACTCTATGGCCTCAAGCAAGCCCCCTAGGCAATGGTACATCAAGCTGCGGGAAGTCTTGGAGGCGATCGGCTTCACTCCCTCAACGGCCCGATCAATCCTTGTTCATGCTTGGCGAGGGGGAGCAGAGGAGCTTCATGGTGGTTTATGTGGATGACATCCTCATATTCTCACCCTCCTCTGACCTTGTGAAGGAGGTGATGCTGAAGCTTCAAGACAAGTTCAAGTGCAAGACCCTTGGTGACGTCAACTACTACCTTGGGCTTCACATTGAGCGAGATGTGGAGAAGCGGTGGATGCGAGTGCATCAAAAGAAGTACTTGGAGGCCTTGGCTGCAAACTTTGGGAAGAGTGAAGGTCATGTGGCTACTCCTCTTCCCTCAGGGTTCAAGTGTGTGAAAGGACCAGCGGAGGAAAGTGTTGGTGAAGAGGAGAGGCGGCGTTTTCACTCCTTGGTGGGCAGCCTCATGTATGCGGCCGTTCACACAAGGCCGGATGCAGCCTTTGCTACCGGGCAGCTGGCTAGGGTTGTCCAATGCCCTAATGAGGAGCAGGTAGCAGCTGGAGAGGAGGGTGGCCAAGTACCTTGGCCAAACAGCAACTGTTGGACTGCAATACTCCGCGGCGGCACAAAGGCGTCAAAAGGGTGCGGATGGAGTCGAACCCGGGAGGCTCTTTCTCACCGCCTTCTCTGATGCATCTTGGGCATCAGAACCAGAGGACATGACAAGTGTGGGAGGCTTCATCTGCTGTGTTGGTGGAGGACCAACAGCTTGGGAGAGCAAGAAACAAGTGGACCAAGCATTGAGCTCGGTGGAGTCCGAGTACATGGCACTCTTTCGTGCCATAAGAGAGGTTGTGTGGCAGCGGCGTTTGCTAGCTGAATTGGGGGAGGAGTAGCAAGGACCTACCCCACTCTATTGTGATAGCCAGGGTGCTATTGCATTGGCTAAGAACCCGGTTCTTCATGGCCTTACCAAGCACATGAAGGTGAAGTGGCATTGGGTGAGGAGCATGGTAACCTCGGGTGAAGTGGAGTTGCACTATGTGAAGACGACGGCGCAGCCAGCTGATATGATGACCAAGAGGCTGGTTGAGCAGCAGCATTGGAAGTGTTGCAAGCTTGCTGGGATGGCTCTGAACTAAGGGGAGCAGATTCTAAGGCCAACAATCCGAGGGGGAGTTTGTTGGTGCAACCCTATGGCTTGCACTCGGCTTGTCGTCCTTGTTTGTGTGTGTGCATGCATGGCATGGAATGATTTGTGAGTCTATATCATTGCTATCTAGTGCTTGTGTGTGAGTTTGGATGGTGTATCACAATGTGGTTTGTGTCGGTCAAGACATTAGCGAGTTTTTACAACTCGCATGTCAAGTCGTCGTTTGCGTGTCGCATGTGTTTTTTCTATTTTGTCGAGTGTGAAGTGTCCATTGCATCGCAGGTGTGTGCAGCAAGCCCCCATCAACTCAAGAAGAATTTATCTTGCAGAACCAAGACCAAGAGCTCAAGATTTCAAGCCCAAGGGACGCGGATAAATATTAAATAGTGAAAATAGTAACGCTACTTCGTGTAGTGTTACATTTCACTTGGTGTAGCCCCTTGGAGGGTTGTTTCGAGACTCTTCATGGTTGGGGACTCTGTGGTGGTGTACCACCAACCTGGACCTCGGCTCTTGGGGTATGTAGAGGCTGGGAACCATCTCCATATCGAACTCTTCTTGCTAAGTTTGTACTTCCAAGACTATAGTGGCTGCTATACCTCCTGCCAGTCAAACCGCCATAGCGCCGTCAAATCTTCATGGAAATTCATGATTCAACTTGCTGCTGATAGACGAGAGCAACGCGCTCCAGATCCAAGTTACAGATCACCGTTTGATTCAGCGACCAGATCGTTATCAATATTTGAAGCCGTCTGACGGAAATCCGACTGTGCTCTCTATCGCTCATTATAGGCACATCTGAGCCTATTGTGACTATAACGAGAGCAGCACGCACCATCACTCTGACACAGTCACACTTGGTGCGTCAGGTCCTTCAGAGGTTCGGTCTTCAGTTCTCCTCCGCACAGCCCACACCTCTACCTGTAGACCATGGGCTCTCCGCTCCCGTTCCTCAGGAGCCTGTAGAGCCCAGTGGCCCCTACGCAGAGCTGGTGTGTTGCCTAATGTACCCAGATCTCGCATACCCTCTCAGCATCCTGGCTCGCTTTGTGGCTACAGGCAGACACCGACCTCAGCACTGGTTTGCCGCTAAGAGGGTTTTGCGTTATCTTGCTAGTACATCGGGCATGGGGTTAGTGCTAGGAGGACGCAGGCCAGTGGTCCTTACTGGGCACACAGACGCTTCTTGGGCAGACGACTCTGAGACGCTCAGGTCGTCACAGGGCTACTATTTTAGCCTTGGTTCGGGTGCTATCTCTTGGAGATCCACTCGCTCGTCGTCTGTGGCTCAGTCTAGCTGTGAGGCAGAGATCTACGCCGGTGCCATGGCGGCACAGGAGCTCCGCTGGCTGACCTTCTTGCTCACAGACTTAGGTGAGCGGCCTAGCTCTGCCCCGGTCCTGTATGCTGACAACAGGGCCATGATACTCCTGTGTCAGGAGCCTCGGCTTGAGGGCAGAGCGAAGCATATCCAGCTGCGGTACTTCCTCTTGCGCGAGCTACAGCAGCGCCGCCAGGCCCGCGTAGTTCGCTTGGCCTCAGGTGCCAACACAGCTGATATCTTTACTAAGGCGCTTGCGCCTAAAGATCATCAGCGGCACTGTGTACAGCTTGGTCTTGTTCCTGTAGCTACTCACCTGTTAGGATCCTGATTGTGTACTCTCTATTATATATGCCTGTCAGACTGGCCTTGTGGCCTTACCTCCAGTGGCTGGACTAGTAGTGCCGCCCTGGCTTGCTTTAGTTTTGTTTGTATTCTTCCTGACTGGTCTCCAGACCCCTGCCTCTGTGGTTGGACTAGTAGTGCCACCCTGAGCTGTTTGCTTTTTGCTTAGCTTCACCCCTTGTCTAGCCTAGGGGGTGTGTCAACTTATACATATTAGCTATATAGAAGTTATAGGCTAGACTGAGGTATGCTTCTAGTGAGTACAACCAACTAGTATTTGTTCTAGGTTTCCAGTTCTAGTCATTCATTCGATTCTTACTTTGACAGAAGGTATATCTGGTTCAGGGTCTGTACGCGCTGTGCTATGGAAACTCAGTACTGGGTTAGCAACAAGTCTGAAATTTTCAGGATCCCTAAATTCAAACTCTGAAGTGATCAGGATTGGAAAAATGGGTAATCTGATAATTCAGGTTTGGCCAGAAAAAGGGTCTGAAAATTCAGACTAAATAGTCTGATAAAATCAGCCCTGGTAGGAACACGCTCTTAGTCTATCAAGACAAGTGTTGACAGGGTAAGGGGGTGCCCGTGTTAAATTATATACTGTATGTTAGTATATAATTGTAGGCTTGGTAAACGTTACTGAACATTACTGTAGAGGGTACAACATCCCTCCTTGTATCCCTCTCTCTTCTTTTCTAGTCCTTTTTTTTCCTCTCGTCAACACTCCCTCCTAGCTCTCGACCTCCTAAAACCCCTCGCCATTTCATGGCATCCTAGTTCCTAGTTTGACATGGTATCAGAGCAGGACGCCCTTCCCGGGCCTGCTCTCCACACTTCCGCTGCGTACCCGTCCTTACTTGGCCACCGTCGCGGCCCTCTGTTTGCCTGCCGCCGTGGCACATTTTCCGTGATGTCGCGGTGGCCTCTGTGTGCTGTCGTCTCAGCGTCGACGAGCAGCCGCGGCTCCGACGCCACGCTGTGGTGGCATCGTAACGGTGCCGAGGCGGTGTCGTCGGCCTGTTGCCGTCGCGCACCACCTGCGTCGCTGCTGGACTTGCAGCCCGCCGGCACGCAGTAAGCGCCGCGCCAGCAATGGCGCCGCGCTGAAGATCCGAAGCCCCGCCCCTTCCCCGTTCCCTCTGTCTCCTCCTCTTCGCCACAGCCGCCGCCTGACTCTCGCCGTCCCCCTGTCGTGGAGTCTGGACACGTCGCCGAAAGGGCGGGGGTCGCTGCCGTTATCGCAGCCGTAAGCCGAAGCCGTCGCCGTCGCCGCTGTCGTCGCCGTAGGCCTGTTGCCGCCGCACGCCGCCGCCGTCGCTTTCGCCGCTGCCGGGACTGCCGCCGTCGCCATCTCCAGGGCCTTGGGATTGGCCCTGCTGGAGTGGTCGTTGCTGTTGGGAATGGGGGTGCCAGGTTAGGGGGTGTGGGGGTGTGTGGGTCCTTGTGCTACCAAGCCTAGGGGGTGTGTTAAATTATATATGTTAGTATATAATTGCAGGCTTGGTAGACGTTACTGAATATTACTGAAGAGGGTACAACACCCCTCCTTGTATCCCTCTTTCTTTTCTAGTCCTTTTTTTTCCTCTCGTCAACTCTCCCTCCTAGCTCTCGACCTCCTAAAACCCCTCGCCATTTCATGGCGTCCTAGTTCTTAGTTTGACAGGCCGAACTAAAACAAATTGTGACATCCTGGGACGTTACAGGAAGGTACAGCACAGTACAAGCCATATTCCCTTATCACCCGGGGGGCGACTCGGGGCATTTGGTGTACATGGAATATGCTCGAGAAAACATGACTAAGGCGTGTCGCAAGATTTTTTTGCTTGGATTTTATGAATTGTTCATGGTCGACGGTGTTGGCCTTTGTTGCGATCATGTGTCGCTCACCAGGTCGCACGCGCGTCAACCCAGGGTTCATGGTAAAGTTCCAGATTCCTCACAACATTCAACGCGCTCTATCAAGAATAAGGAAAAGGCGTTTACATTTGAGAAATTTGCCAACGCGCAAATAGACGGGGTAGGCGAACATCGACGAGAGCGGTGACCAGTCATGTTTGCGCATCCGGATTCATTTCAGAGAAATGTAAACTCACGTCCACAAATTGTATTCAGCTTACAACACTGTACAAACATTACTCATACAATTTGTGGGGCAAACGTGGAGGAACATAAATGGCTGGTCTTGTGGTTGTTGGATTTTCCAAAAAGTGATGTGGATTCGGCTCCGAACATTGGTTGACGAGTCTGACACAAACAGCCAGTGTCGGATCGCCTGCCGTTGAAATTCGTCGCACGAGCACACTGATTGGTTATCGCAAAATGTTGCCGATTGACTGTAATGAGTACTGTTCACATGACACGGGTACACTTTGCGTACAAGGAGAGGCCCTTAAGGATAAATTGCCTATGGAATACTCATGGGCGTAAAAGGGGGTCGTTTACAAGGCATATGACCAGGGCTTCAGAAGTCATGACAAAATGCCATGAAATGCTGTATATCAGGGTGTTTTTTTAGGGTCGTCCTGCTTTTTCAGCTTTTGATTTTTCCTAGGCCTGAATTTTAGGGGTTGTCATTTGAGCAGGCCTGAAATATTGTATGTTCTTGTTTTGGTCACCCTGAGTTATCAGCCTTAACGGATTTCCAGCCTGAAACAGAATCATATCTGACTAGTTGAGGTGAGCTGGAGCAGTTGTGAAGGGTGTAACTTGTCCTTAGCCAAAATGTCGCAGGTGACGCAAGCTGTAGCACATGTGAGGGGCGTGATTGGTCCTTCGCCAAAATCACACGGGCAGTTTGACGCGAGCTGGAGCAGGTGTGAGGGGCGTGACGGGACCTTAGTCAAAATCACGCAGGTAACACGAATTGGAGCAGATGTGAGGGGCGTGATTGGTCATTTGCCAAAATCACGCAGGCAGTCTGACGCGAGTTGGAGCAGGTGTGAGGGGCGTGACTAGTCCTTGGCCAAAATCACTGTTGGGCTGAGAAATGCCCTTAGGATCTTTCCAGAGACTAAGTCCCAGTTGTAAAAGGAGACTTGAGTAGTGCAGCGGAAGTTGAGAAGTTGAACCCTTGTACTAGTATGTGAGAACAAGTGATTGATTAAAAGGACAAGCATACATCAATATATAGAAAGTAGGAAAGTAAAGCAGTTGTAGAATACAGTTGAAGAGCGGTTATCGAGTCGCACAGCGACTCGATTGTCACTTCGGTTACCATCCTTGCAGCTGTAACGGTCAGTCGCAACCTCCAGTTGCGACCCTTCGAGTCCTTTCGTGTTCTTTGTCCACCCCCTCGTGTAACCTCCGTTGACTCGCGTACCCGTTACGATCTTTCTCGAGTGTGGTGTTACACTCCAGAAACGCTTAAGTCCTTGAGGTATTTCCAACACTCCCCTTCGTTTCTGGAGTGCTGATGTGTTCAGATCCGGTGATGTTTGTC